TCTCTTTATATATATATATATATAAAGAGATGTTATTTGATGCTTAAATTCAATCCTACCGATTAAACTGGAATAACCTCGTACTTGTTAAACACATGTTAAACTAGAATAAGCTCGTTCGGTTACACAACATGTTCATGGTAATTGTAATTTTCAAACAGAATATCATGTGTGGAACATATGAAAGAACATGGGTTCTGTGAAGGTAATAATTAAAAATAAAATCAACCAGCTGCCATTTTTGTAGGAAAAAAAAACAGTAAAACTATCATTACTCCGTAGAAAAAGAAGTTGTGTTGGTGAATCATGCAGTTTTATTTAATGCTTAATCGAAGAAGAGGTATAAAAAACTCATTTTTAAGTAAAAAGTTGAGACAGCAATATTTCTTTCATGCACATGAAGAAACTTCCATTTCTGAGCTTAGGGAAAGGCTTTCATTGCCTCCGAGACTAAAAGCATACAAAGAATTAACTCGGTAGTTGAGCAATTGAAGGACAAATAAGCTACCCAACCTTCAATATTTTAAGCATGAGTTATTCATTCTTTAATTAAATTTATAAGAATGACTCGATCATTTCATATACTCATTTTTTTTAATCAGTAGAAATTATAAAGATGGTAGCTGCAAAGGTATTAACTTAACTGCTAGCTGAGAAAACTCAACACATGTGCTAATCTTTTTCGCAGCCATAATCTTAATCGATAATTTCTCCATTTGGTTATTACCCTGTACTTTCGAGGAGCAAAATTCTTAAAAACTATACTCATGTTATGTTATGATGTCGAGACTTAAAAAAAGCCGTCAGGAAAATTTCAACTTCAAGCAATTTTGAGTAATATTGTGTTGTTATAGAATTCATCTTCGTTTACTCTTCGTACCCAAAAACAAATACTAACATTTACATTTACATCTGGGGTATTCAAATTCTTATCCTTTCTATCCATGTGCAGTACCCTTGCCAACAACTGCAATTATCTATGCTATCATTATACAAATCTGGGCCCGTCATTGGGAAAAGAAGCCACAAGAAGCCCAGGAATCCTATTATGAATGTTACACTCACAAACCCTGTAACAGAAACAAACATATGAATAAGTCCAAAAACGACATTTATATGGAAATGAATGAATAGTAAAGCCATAAATCACCTTATCCATGACAAAAAAATGAGCAGACCATGAGCACAGTTGATCGTACTAACTAGCACTGTTTTTATCCACTGGCTCCCTTTTAAAAAAAAATATCTTCCTATACATGCATAGTCTAGAGTGGGGGGATCTCAAGAGAAAGAATACTCTCCCTCAAGTTTAAACCTCCGATAGCTCTACTAAATAGTGAGTACTCAACCAAATAAAACGAGTGAGAGCTCTTGCGGTGTCACCACCAGATATTAGATCTGTAACTTAATAATGTGAAATTTTACAAATAATGATTTACTCTTGAATAACTGTTGGTGTAAAATTTAAGTCAACCATGTAAACTTGCTGGGGTGTCATCATCAGATATTATATCTAAACTTAATAATGGCTATGGAAGCATCAGAACTATATTTCAACTTTCATGCTAGAGAAACCTTGGTTAAAATAAACACGCTTTCAATCATAGAACAAAATAATTCAATCTTCATTCACTTGTAGTGTAAAATTTCAGTCAACTGTGTGATGCCACATATATAGCAATTTGTTGGGAGTTAAAATTTTGTTTATTGCAAGTGAAATCTCCTGGTTGCTCCAATAATGTGGTACTTTTCTATTAATTCCGTAGAGTTTTGTCACACAAAATTCGGTACTAACAAGTAACAAGTAACAGCAGTTTCATAAAGTTAAAACTTGTGACTAATAACTAAATGGAAAAAAAAAAATGGGCTACATTATAGTTCTCCATTCTTTTCTTCATGTTTTTAGTAAATAATTCATAATGAAGAGAGTCGAGGAGGAAAATTAATTAATAGTACAATTTAAGCCAATACTAGGAAATTAAAAATCCATAACTTATGCCTCCAGTCAGGAAGTCCAACTGAAACTAAACTTCCAAATCTATTTTAACAAATGGCAGTACAGTTTTTAGCTCTAAATTATGGTAAGTAGAGAATAATTCAAGAAATCAAAGACAAATTATAAGCAAAGTGGCATGGAATGAAAAGGGGAAACAAAAAAAGAAGGGCCCAGGGGGAGGAGTAGATAATAATAGTACTATATATTATAACCATATAAACCACATTTGCAAATTAATCGACAAGCAACTTAATATACATACCACTTTTCTGCGAATACAACGCAGGCAGTCCCATAAAATTACAATATATGTGCGCTACTAATGGAGCTATAAGGTGTCCTGCAAAGCATAAGCCATACAAATATAAGTGACAGAAAAAGTACAAACAGGCCACCCTAACACGAGAGACTATATGCTGGCTTCTCATCAGAATAGAACCAATCCCCCAAAATAGCTTTTAGAACTTATCCAATTACTAACTTCAGCTATATATCTCAAGGAAAAATGAAGTTAAATGAAGGATGGATTCTAAGATGGACCACCATCATAGATGGTACAATTTTTGTCTTTTAGATTCATCTAAGTTTTCACTTTATTATAATGTACCTCCCACACTGTATCACTATTATCTCCTCTTCCCAGTCATGACTACCAATGCACCACTACCAGAGCGTTGCTGACCACCAGGCACTGCCACTGAGGCAATTTCTGGCAGCAACCCCATTGTTTCCCTTCTGTTTTTTACTTTTTCTGTCTCCTTTTTCTTCCACGAGTGTGGATCTCCCACACGAGTGCGTATCTTCCCCGAAGTGATGTGGCAGAGCACAAATCTGCCACAACAGAGGCACACAAGAGCATCCAGATTTGGTCTGCTGTTTACCTGACCAAGTTCGAGGCCCGTGAAATGGAATGACAAACAAGAACATCTTCGTTCAGTTTTTGACATTGAGAAATGGAGGCTTGGTGGAGGCATTTTTTCCATGGGGGAAGAGAAATGGAGCAAAGTCAGTTGGATGACAGCATGGATGAATGGTTGGCGGCGGTGCTCCAATGGTAGTCAAAAGTGAGTTACTGGGAAGAGAAAAGGTCAAAAATATTCAGGTGTGGAGAGTTCACCATAATAATTTGAAGTTTTGAACCTTATGATAATCCAAAGGCTGTTAATTGGTGGTGTATGGTGGTCCGCCTATGGTGTTCCACCTTAGACTTTGTCTAAATGAAGTCATATAATAATATAATAGCATATCTTTCCTATCATTTCAACCCATAATAGAAATAAACATTCTATACACTTAAAGCTACTGCTTCAATTTAAATTTATCCAACAAATCAGAATTTAATAATTGGCTTTTATTGTATTTTTTTTTCTTGTTAGGGTCACTTTAAAATAGAAAATAAGTTAGACCCACTAATATGTAAATTTAGTACATACCTTCTTGATTTTAATATTTATGGCAAGCATATATATAATATAGAAAGGTTTAAATATATTTTTGGTCCTTACAGTTTATGGTGCCCTGGTTTTGGACCCTATACTTTAAGAATTTGGTTCAGTCCCTAAGCTTTATTTTTTTAGTTTTGGTCCCTAACTCCCTATAGTTTCATTCTATTTAGGTTTTGGTCTCTAAATTAGAGCAAACATTAGACTTGATGGTTGTCTCTTGAAGCATATGTGAGGTGGCATATCGTTAGTGGCAGGGACCAAAACCAAATAAACAAATAAAACTACAGGTATTAAAAACAAACTTCTAAAGTATTGGGACCAAAGCTAAACCGAGGTAAACTATAGGTGCAAAAGAGGTATTTAAAATTTTAAACCTTATATAAAAGTTTAATTGTATTTTAAACCAAAAGTACATTCACTTTCCTATTTCAAGTAGGGATGGCAAAGTGGGCCATGGCCCGCGGGCTGGCCCGTTGGCCCGCCAAAAATTGGCGGACCGGGTCAATCATTTCAACCCGCCAACCCGCCGGGCCAAATAGCGGGCCGGCCCGCCACAACCCGCCGGCCCGCATATATATATTTTTTTTAATTTAATTATTTTTATGTTTATTTTATTTTGATGTAGAAGATGAGGATGAAGATGATTAAGAAAAAAAGTAGAGATAACTTCTTTCAAGAGAGCTTCTAATATTCTTAAAATAAAAATTTAAAGTTAATTAATTGTATTTAAACTTGTTTTGTGGACTATCAAAAAATTTAGTTTATAAATAATTTGTAAGTTTATAATTTGGTTTTGATTTTGGTGTAAATGGATTAATTTCTATTTGATTTTGTTTTAAGTTTGTAATTTGTTTTTGTTGAACATATATTAAGTACAATATGTATGCATTTTTAATTTCATATGATTATATTTATTTATTTGTAGCAAATTTTTTTTTATTTGACCATAAAATATTTTTTTTTTTCCATTTTTTTTTTATTTTTTATTTTTGTAAGCGGGCTGGCAGCCGGGCGGGCCAGCATCTCCAGCCCGTTTTACATTGACGGGCCGACCCGGCCCGCCCCGTTTTTGGCGGGCCAATGGCGGGCCGGGCCAAAACGGGCCGGGCTGGCCCGTTTTGCCATCCCTAATTTCAAGGGTAAAATCCAGAGTCATTTTAACCCTCAAAGTCATTATCCAATCATTCTCTTTAGCAATGCTGAATGTATTGAAATTTGTATTCAGAAGCATATTCACTTTACTATCTAAAGGGTAAAATCCGGAGTCATTTTAACCCTCAGAATCATTATCCAATCAATTTTTTAACAATGCTGAATGTATCTAAATTTGTGTTTCAGAAGCATATGCTATTATCACTAAATAGAAGTCAGAAAAAATATAACAGACTCATAACCTATAACAAAACCATGGATCAAATGCTCGAACACCACATACCAGTTCGAATGAAGAGAAAAGAGGCATATGACCCAAAGACAACAGTGTAGCCAAGCTGGAGACCTGTAGGCAAAATTCATTTTGCAGTGCCAGATTATTATCCAACAATACTAAGTTGAGATTCTTGAAATGCCCCAAAATCTCAAATTCTCTATAAAAAGATACAATAACTGTGCCAGTGTAACTTTGACATAAATCCAGGCGCTGCTGAATAACATGAACATTGACCATACCTATAATCATAACAGCCTTCATTATTCTGTAGTTTTGCTTGGTATAAATCTCCACAAAATGATTCAGATGTGCTGCAAACCAACCATGCAGTAAAACTTCTCATTAAGCCTTGGATTTGAAAAGGACAATATTTTCTGCTAATTATTTTCTTCAATCTACAGACAAATGAAAATTCACTGAATATTGTAAGGGATTTTTTTAGTTTTAGCTGACTATTAAAACTTTTATCTGGCACCTATGATATGTGAAACATGCAATAATTTCACTTTCAGTGTAAAGAATTTCCAAAACTGTTTCTATTGCTTACATCTTAGAACAGCACTGTTGAAAAGGGTTGTGCATGTGAGAGATAGTATGAACACTGAACAGAGTTTTCTCCACTACATTTCCTTTCTGTTAGGACATGTACCCTTTCACAATTAGTAATTAATATTTATTCATGTCTTGTTTAACATATAAAGGAAGCAAGTTATTTTTGCATAGTATTCTAATTAAACGAGACACAGTTAAAATATTGCCCACTAATTCCTTAGAGTATACACTGATTAAAAATTAGTACAAAGAAATCTCTTATATACATATACATGCACATGCGTGGGTGCACACACACATTCTTCTTCACCTTACAACCAAAAAGTGAATTCATTATGTCCTCTTTTAAAGTCTTCCAATACAGCAATAACAACAATAGTCCTATCCTACTAGGTGAGGTTAGCAACATGGATCACATGATATAATTGAACTCAGTTAAAACCCAAATTCCCAGGGACAAAGTCTTCCAAGAGTTTCTTGAAAATTTATAACAAAAAATAGCACTTCTCAAAAGCTCAGTGAACTTCAGCCCTAATAAAACTTGGTACAATGCCATTGTTGTACTACAATGGATGTTTGATGAATTCTCTTAAAACACTTTTGAATAATAAATGACAAAAGATTCTATTTACATATAAGTATAACAATAGAAAATTCTACACTATAACATAAGAAATCACATACATCTTCTAGAATTCACGTCTAAGACTCTAAGTACTTACCCAAGCTGAAGAAAATAGGACAAAGAAGAATAACACTATATGCTTTAAATCCTCCACACAGAAGTAAAGGTATCATGCATGCCCGAAACACCAACTCCTCGGTAATGGGTGCCTGTTCAGTATACCATAATAAATCATTTCCATAATGCACATGAGATATGAAACTGAACAACAACCCACATAACTTAAGCTGTATTCACAATTCAGAAAAGAAAACTATTTGCTTCTGTGCTTTCGATTCTCATTACAAGCACAGAAAAATAAGCTACAAGCACAGTGGCTCACTGATAGCTACAGGTTCAACAGTCAATACACAAGATCATAATAATAATAATAAGTACTAACCACAACATAGTTTCGCCACACCAAAACATTTGATGAAATCACAGATAACCAGTCAAAAAACCTCTGCAAAGTGCATTTGCAGGAAGCAAAGGAAAGGGCATCCCCAGAACTTGTGTGTTGCCTCCAAGAAGTCAGCAACAGAAGACACTTGAGGAACATGGACCCAGCATACATTAGAGAGGTCAAGCAAAGAGGAATGACCACAGCCTGCCACTGTTTCATACAGAAAACCATGTTTCAGCAAGAAAATTCAGCAATGAGTGACCATTTTTCCCAATCCGACATTACCACACAACACAAAATGCTCTTTCATCCCTCGATTGAAGCAGTGAATTTGATACACACTACTCACAATATGATCCCCCCGGATGCCAAAGACACCACCAAAAATGTGGCGCAGTTCCTTAGTCTGCACCTGCACACACAGTAAAACAATGCCATGAAAGATCACAAGAGCAAACTCAAACATTGTATTATTTAAACTAACTCACAAAAGGTGACCACAAATTCCTCAGCAATTCCCCAATAATAAAAATAACAGAACAAAACTTAAATCTATTTTGGTACCGTTCTTCAATTAAAATCGAAATTTCACCTTATAATAAAAATTTGCATAAAAAATTTAAAGACCATGTCTTCTAAAATGACAATCTTATTCGAGTCAATGACAATGTTATTCTCCCCAATACTCTGTTCAGATAAACTTCTCCTTAAAAACTAGAAAAGAAAATTAGGAAGAAAAAATAAACAATTTTTTTCAGAAACTAAAATTAATTCATGCATAACTAATTTGTAGAATCACCCTCGTGTTAACTTCACCGAGATCATAAATTTATGTTATGCATAAACTAATTTAAACTTATTTCAATTTATCTTCTTATTTAATTTTCTCCTATAAGTACTTCCGTAGAAATGCATAATAAGAAATAGAAGTGAGGGAAGAGGGAGTGTACATACGGGGAGAATGAGAGCGGAGAGGAAAAGGGAGAGAAAGGAGGAAACGACGGCGCATAGGAAGCGTCGAATCATGAAGCTTTTGAAAGAAGGAGGGGGTGGAAGACGAAGGACCACGGTGGGAGCGTAGAGGATAGCAACGTAGAACAAAGCCATTGCTACGCACGCGATAAGCGCCACTGCCTTCGAAACGACGCCGTCTTGCTCCATTGCTGAACCTTGCTCTTTCAGTTGCCGTAACCCTGCAGAATGCCGATTTAGGAATCTTGGTCTCTCCAATCTCAGTTCAATTTCTTATTGCTTGACTACACAAGTCATCAGTGCAATTTTATAAAATTTTAATCAATGTCTCTGTAATTTATTATTTTATTTTTTCGGAAAAACAAATAATATTCCTTTTAAAATATATATATATATATATGTTTGATATTTAAGATGAATCAACATATTCTATATTTTTTTTATTATATAATAACAATAATGATGTTTGAAAATAGCACTTGATTTTACGGAGTGTTGGTGCCTTAGGTTATAATTTAACTCAGAGAAGGCTCAGGGGAGCTTAGGAAAGCATCGGGTTTTCCATCAGTTTAATTAGCGATAAAAAATCACCAACTATAATAACTTATTTACCTATATTCATCGTTACCAAACTCTTTTATAAAAACTTAATTTTAAATAACTTTAATTAAATACTTATTTGAGGAAAGTTATTTTAATAAAATCCATTTTTATTCTTAAATAAAGCATATATATATATATATATATATATATATATATA